ATAGCCACTAACAGCTTATGTCTTTATTTTAAAGCCAGCGTTTTAAATGTCTTTAGTCTTTAGCCACTGGTTTAATAAACTTTAACTGCTCGGACAAAAATACCCTTCTGCTCATGTCCTTAACTTCAGGACTTCAGGACTACATGTCCTTAACTTTTGAACTTGGAACTCTAAGTTCAGGACTTCAAGGTTACATGTCCTTAAGTTTTGAACTTGGAACTCAAACTTCAAGACCAAACGTCCTTAACTTTTGAACTTGTAAGTCAAAGTTAAGGACCTATTGTCCTTAACTTTTGAACTTGTAACCGTAAGTTAAGTACTGCTTGTCCTTAACTTTTGAACGTGTAACTGTAAGTTAAGGACTGTCTGTCCTTAACTTTTGAACTTTAAACTCAAAGTTAAGGACTGCATGTCCTTAAGTTTTGAACTTGAAACAATAACTTAAGGACTGCACGTCCTTAAGTTTTGAACTTGAAACTATAAGTTAAGGACTGTCTGTCCTTAACTTTTGAAACTGAAACTCAAAGTTAAGGACAGAAAGTCCTTAAGTTTTGAACTTGAAACAATAACTTAAGGACTGCACGTCCTTAAGTTTTGAACTTGAACCTATAAGTTAAGGACTGCCTGTCCTTAACTTTTGAAACTGAAACTCAAAGTTAAGGACAGAAAGTCCTTAAGTTTTGAACTTGAAACAATAACTTAAGGACTGCACGTCCTTAAGTGTTGAACTTGAAACTATAAGTTAAGGACTGCCTGTCCTTAACTTTTGAAACTGAAACTCAAAGTTAAGGACAGAAAGTCCTTAAGTTTTGAACTTGAAACAATAACTTAAATACTGACTATCCTTAAGTTTTGAACTTGAAACTATAAGTTAAGGATTGTTTGTCCTTATCTTTTGAACCTGCATGTCAAATTTAAGGAATGCATGTCCTTAACTTTTAAACCTGCATGTCAAACTTAAAGACTCATGTCCTTAACTTTTAATCTTTGAACTCAAAAGAAACAAAAACAAGGTAAGAAGAAAGAAATTACTGTACGTAATTGAGACATCTGCTCAAAAATTCAGAACTTGAAAATTTTGATGATGCAAAAGGAACTACGGTACGTATTGGTAAAAGGAATAGTGAAGCAAAATCAGAAGGATCTCATGATGGACCTGGTTATGTCCTAGTAATTGGGGTCACTAATAGACCTGATGCTATTGACCAAGCATGGAGGAGGCCGACCGTGAAATCGCCTTGGGTATTCCATATGAAAATGCAACGCGAAAGAGAGGAAGAAAGGGTAAAATTGTCTTTTTTCTATTAGTAGTGGCTATTTTTGCTGAGCATTATAATTAGTGGATAAAAATTAAAAACACCCTTAATTAATGGCTACTACACGCCATTTTTACTTAGATTAAAGGTCTAAAATTATGAATTCCCAAGTTTAAAGTTTGTCGCATTTTACACAAGTAATCATTATCGGTAGTAATAGCCACAAGGGTACTCTCTCATCCGGCACAGCTTTGTCGAAAAATTTAGTTAAAAATATGCAAATAATTTTTTTTTATGTGAAACCAAATGGGTATATTACAATAGGTCGACACTGTTCCAAAAATAATACAAAAAAAACATCAAATTGGAAATAAAAGTAAAACTCAACACCACATACATTTGTGTTTATATGCATAAAAATTTTGGTCAACAGAATTTTCATTTTGCCTAAAACTCAAACTGAGACCTCAAGTTACACTGTTACATTATGCATGAACAGACTTTGCACAACCCAGCTTATGTAGAAAATAAATACATCTTCTCCGCCAATAGGCTCGCGACATCCATGCTATGTTCAACCTAAAACCTATTCCGACTTCTAAAAAACCAAGAGAGTTACATTGATCCGAAATTGTACAAATTTGCATCAACGTTCCAATGGTTTCTGATCGTTAAATGAAATCTGCTCTAAAAGTATCGACTTAGGCCACATCTGAAGGTTGCTGCAAAGCTGTAACAAAAATCAGAGCTCCATTTTCACCAAACCTTCAAACTGTGGGAAAACTTGAACGATGCAGCCACACTATAGTAACGTTGCTGCTCAGCATATAAAACACCGAAAATTCCAGGAGCGTAGAACAAAATTGGTTTCTCACCAAAAAGTTTTGCCTGAGTACTGGCACCTAAAGCAACATCTCTCCATCAGGGCCAGTGATCATATTCTCCAAGTCTTCTTGTGACAATAGAGTTTTCTTGCCCAATGCACCGTTCTTATCATATGGCTGAGCCATTTTCCTCAAGAACTGCATCCATGAGACGGAAAGTTTAAGAATCAAAAAGTGTCAGCTCTTCTAATGCAATCAAATTGATGTTTCTGTCCAAGATAATATAAGGAGACAACAGTATGTTCCCTTAACTGACGTGAGACATTCTAACACCTCCTTCCCCTGCACGCCTAGTACTAGACATTTGAATTATGAGCAATATAACAGGGCGCACAACATTGGGCAAACCAAGAATAGGGATGTATCTGACTCTAATATCTAATACCATGTTAGGAAAATGAACTTTGCACCTAAGTCAGCCTTAGAAGCTAGCTCGTGCGATGAGAACTGCCCAAGACCATAAACAACAGCACATTCCCTTAACCAGTGTGGTTACATTCTAACACTAACAACTCCAACAACCTAGCCCTTCCCTTGGGACCCTTACGACCGAGAAAAGAAAAGAGAGGACAACGAAAGCAAATTTTGAGGACATAGAGCACATTTGATAATTCACAAAAACTGCAGAAGTTGAACACACTCCTAAGTAACAGCAGAGAACAGTTCTCTTGCATCTGAATATTAACAGCGTACAGGAAAGAGGATATACCTCTTTTGCTATATACACGGCCATGTCTGTACTCAAGTTCAAGTGAGCATCCCGTAAATGAGAAAGTATCCATCCAGGCAACTTAGACCGCTTATCATGACGGCTATATCTGATCACAAGATAAAGAGGCAAGGCATCAGAAGCATCTCGTTTCAATTTTTTTTTTTTTTTTTAGTGTGTGTGGTGGGGGGGGGGTG